TCAAGTTTCACAATATCCTTCCTATAACTGGGAGACCAGAACTGCACACAGTATTCCAATAGTGGCCTAACCAATGTCCTGTACAGCTGCAACATGACCTCCCAACTTCTATACTCAATGCATTGGCCAATAAAAGCAAGCATACCAAATGCCTTCTTTGTTATGGTGCCTGCCTGGGATTCCACTTTCAAAGAACTATGAACAAGCAATCCAAGGTCTCTTTGCTCAGCAACGTTCCCCAGGACCTTACCATTTAGTGTATAAGTCCTACCCTGATTTGCCTTTCCAAAATGCAACACCTCACATTTATCTAAATTAAACTCCATCTGCCACTCCTTAGCCCATTGGCCCATGATGAACGTCCTGCTGTACTCTGAGGTAAGCTTCTTCCCTGTCCACTACACCTCCAATTTTGGTGTCATCTGCAAACTTACTAACCATTCCTCCTATGTCCACATCCAAATCATTTATATACATGATGAAAAGCAGTGGGTCCAGCACCAATCCTTTTGGCACACTGCTGGTCATAGGCCTCCAGTCTGAAAAGCAACTCTCCACTACCACCCTCTGTCTTCTATCTTCAAACCAGTTCTGGATCCAAATGGCTAGTTCTCCCTGTATTCTACGTGATCTAACCTTGCTGCCATGAGGAACCTTGTCATACGCCTTCCTGAAGTCCGTATATTTTATGTCCACCGCTCTGCCCCATCAATCCTCTTTGTTACTTCTTTAAAAACTCAATCAAGTTAGTGAGACACAATTTCCCATGCACAAAGCCATGTTGACTACCCCTACTGCCTTTCCAAATACATGTAAATTGTGTCCCTCAAGATTTCCTCCAATAATGTGCCGACCACTGACGTCAGGCTGACCAGTCTATAGTTCCCTGACTTTTCCTTATCACATTTCTTGAGAGTGGCACCACATCAGCCAATCTCAATCTTCTGGCACCTCACCTGTGGTTATCAATGATACAAATATCTCAGCAAGGGGCCCAACAATCACTTCCTTAGCTTCGCACAGAATTCTAGGATACCTGATCAGGTCCTGGGGATTCATCTACATTAATGAGTTGTAAGATGTCCAGCACCTCCTCCTCTGTAATTTCAAGATGTCACTGTTTATTCCCCTACATTCTCTATCTTCCATGTCCTTCTCCAAAGTAAACACTAATGCAAAATACTTGTTTAGTATCTCCCCCATCTCCTGCAGTTCCACACATAGGCAGCCATGGTGATCTTTAAGGTGCCCTTTTCTCTTCCTTGTTACCCTTTTATCCTTAATGTATCTGTAGAATCCCTTTGCATTCTCCATAACCCTATTTGCCAAAGGTATCTCATGTTCCCTTTCTGCCCTCCTGATTTCCCTCTTAAGCATACTCCGACTGCCTTTATGCTCCTCTAGGGATTCACTCAATCCCTGCTGTCTATACCTGACATAAGCATCCTTCGTATTCTTGGCAATAACCTCAATTTCTCTAGTCATCCACACTTACCCTTCACCCTAACAGGAACATACTGTCTCTGGACTCTCGTTATCTCATTTTTGAAGGGTCCCCAATTCCTAGTCTTCCCTCTACCTGCAAATATCGGCCCCCAATCAACGTTTGAAAGTTCTTGCCTAAAAGCATCAAAATTGGCCTTCCTCCAATTTAGAACATTAACTTTTAGATCCAGCCTATCCTTTTCCGTCAGTATTTTAAAACTAATATAATTACGGTCGCCGGCCCCAAAGTGCTCCACCACCAACATCTCAGTCACCTGCCCTGTCTTATTTCTCAAAAGTAGGTCAAGTTTTGCACCTTGTCTAGTAGAAATATGCACATACTGAATCTGTAAATCTTCTTATACGCAGTAAACAAATTCCTCTCCATCTGAGCCCTTAACACTATGGCAGTCCCAGTCTTTGTTTGAAAAGTTAAAATCCCTTCCACAACCACCCTATTATTCTTACAGATAACTGAGATCTCCTTACTAATTTGTTTCTCAATTTCCTGCTGACTATTGGGGGCTCTATAGTACAATCCCAATGAAGTGATAATCCCTTTTAAATTTCTCAGTTCCACCCAAATAATCTCCCTGGACATATTCCCAGGAATATCCTCCCTAAGTACAGCCGTAATATTATACCTCATCAAAAACACCACTCCCCCTCCTCTCTTGCCCCCCCTTTCAATCCTTCCAATAGCATCTATACCCTGGAACATTAAGCTGCCAGTCCTGTCCATCCCTGAGACACATCTCTGCAATTGCTATGATATCCCAGCCCCACATTCCCAACCATGCCCGGAGTTCATCTGCCTTACCTGTTAGGCCTCTTGCATTGAAATAAATGCAGTTTAATTTATCAATCCTACCTCATTCTTTGCTTTGTTCCTGCCTGCCCTGACTGTTTGACTTGCTCCTTTTCCCAACTGTACCAGACTGATCTCTTTCCTGACTATCTCCCTGGATCCCACCCCTCCCCCCTTCCTGGTTTAAATCCTCCCGAACAGCTCTAGCAAATCTCTCCAGCAATATATTAGACCCCTTCCAATTCAGGTGCAATCCGTCCTTCCTTACAGGTCACTTCTACCCCAGAAGAGATTCCCATGATCCAAAAATGTGAATCCTTCTCCCCTGCACCAGCTCCTCAGCCATGCATTCATGCATTCATCTGCTCTATCCTCCTACTCCTACCCTCACTAGAACGTGGCACTGGGAGTAATCCAGATATTACTAGCTTCAAGGACCTACTTTTTAAATTCCTGCCTAACTTCCTACATTGTCTCCTCAGAATCTTGTCTTTTTCTCTTCCTGTGTCATTAGTTCCATTGTGCACAACAATCTCCTGCTGGTCCCTCTCCCCTTTGAGAATATTCTGCACCCTCTCTCAGATATCCTTGATCCTGGCTCCAGGGAGGCAACACACTATTCTGATGTCTTGCCGTCAACCGCAGAAGTGACTGTCTGTGCCTCTGAATAGACAGTCCCCTATCACAATCAATCGCTTGGAACCTGACATAACCCTTGTTACATGAGAGCCAGTCTCAGTACCAGAAACCTGGCTGTCCGTGCTACATTTCCCTGAGAGTCCATCACCCCCTACATTTTCCAAAACAGCATACTTGTTTGTGATGGACATAGCCACAGGAGACTCCTGCACTATCTGCCTACCCCTCCTACCTCTCCTGGAGGTAACCCGTCAGCCTTCCTGCTCCTCTGATGCTGCCTGGCCTGCTGTGTTCCTCCAGCTCCACACTGTGTTATCTCTGACTCCAGCATTGGCAGTTCTTACTATATCTGAGCAGAGGGCAGTCAGCTGTGCAGGTTCACTGCTGGGTCAGACAGGTTTAATTCTCGATTTGTTTCACTTCCCATGTGGTCACTGCTTTGTCTCTCTTCCTCCTTTTTAAAGTGCCTTTGTTTTGATTTTTTTTCCCCAAAGTTCTAAAACAATGCAACAGCTTATAAAACAGTAACTATTGTTCCTAGAATTGGATGGAATCAGTTCCAACACTGAAAAGACTTCAAAAAAGGAGCAGCTATTATAGTCACATTTTTTCCCACCCTCCATCTTGGATTTCCCAGAATCCTGAGAATTACGCCTGCTTTTTTTCTGTGTACCCATTCTCATGGATATTTAATTGTATGTCAGCAGACAAATAAGACTGGAAGCGCCATTAAACATTTCCCATTTAACTTTCATTGCTGCCAATGCTGAGTAGTCCAAGTCCAAGTGTAGCAAACCCTGGACTGTATCCAGACTTGGGCTAAAAAGTGGCAAGTTACACAAACAAATGGCAGGCAATGATCATCTCCAACAAAAGAAAATCTAACCATTATCTCTTGACATTCAATGGCATTAACATCACTGAATCCTCCATTATGAACATTACAGGTGTTACCATTGACCAGAAAATGAACTGAGCTAACCATAGAAATACAATGGTTACAAGACCAGGTCAGAGGCTAGGAATCCCTTGGTGACTAGCTCACTTCCTGACTCTCGAAATCTGTCTACTATCTCAAAAGCATAACTTAAGAGTTTGGTGGAATACTCCCCACTTGCTCTGATGAGTCCATCTCCAATAAGCTTGCCATCATTCAGGACGAAGCAGCCTGTTTGATTAGTACCATATCCACAAGCATCAACTCCCTCCACCTCCAACATTCAGTAGCAGCAATGTGTACTGTCTACAGGATGCACTGCAGAAATTCATCAAAGATCCATAGATAGCACCTACCAAAAACATGACCACTCCATCTAAAAGGACAAAGGTAGCAGATAGCAAGTTCCCCTCCAAGCCACTCACCATCCTGACTTGGAAGTATGTTGCCATTCCTTCACTGTTGCTGGGTCAAAATCCTGGAATTGCCCCCACCCCTCATGACATTGTGGTGCAAACTACAGCACATGGACTGCAATGGTTTGAGAAGGCAGGTCACCACTACCTTCTCAAAGGCAACTAGGGACAGGCAATAAATGCTGGCCAGTCAGTGATGCCCATGTCCCATGAATGAATAAAAAGTATTAGAGATGGCTAACAGATGTTGGCCTAGCCAATGATGCCCACATCCTTTGAATGGATGAATTTTAAAGTCATAGAGCTTAATCTTCCAGTTTTTTAGGTGGGAAGACAACTTAATTAGGCAGGATGAGCTCAGGAATTTCCCCTATGGTCACCTCTACTTCTCTTCACCTGTTGGAGCAGCTCCTTAATGCTTACATCTTTGACCAAGGTTTGTGTACTTGTTTCATATCACCCTTTGTTGCTTGATGTCAAATTTTACTTTATAACCTTCCGGTTATGAGTATTCATTTTATTAATTTAGAAGGTGCTATGTAAAAGTGAAGTTTCAGTAGCACGTACCACTTCATCAGTAGTGGGGGCACGGATATAAGATGGCACAAGATTTCCAAATTCCCCTTCATACTCAGTTTGACAACTTGCTGCATTGGCCATTGTCTGCCCTTTGACCAAGCCTCAGCCCCAAGGTCAGCCTCTGCCTGTTGTGCGCAGCCAGTGGGACCTGCAGCTTGCTCCTCCTGCCGGAAGGTGGAGCAGTGAGTGCGCTGGCGGCTGGCGGCGAGCGGAGCCCACAGCGCAGCCCCCTGGCCCTCCGACATCATGGAACCGCCTGGCTCGTAACTTTACTTCGGGGGCTGGTCCTGGGCCTTTATAAATAAAAAAAAACCCATCGCGGAAGGGGCTGAGTGGTAGTTCGGGACGTTATGTCGTTGCCGATGTTGCAGAGTAACAGTGGATTGATGCGGAGGATCCTGGCCCATTTTCCCCGGGATTTGAGCCTGGCCTTTGCTTACGGCTCTGGCCTGTTCGGACAGACAGGACACTCAGGCCCCAGTGTAAGTCAGGGAGACCCTGTATGAGAGGTGCTAACATGGGCTGTGCTGGGGGAAAAAAGGGGGTTATCCTTATTAATTGTACAAAACTAGGACATGGATTTGTAACAATGATACTGATATAGGAGAAAATACTGCGGATTTGAAATAAAAACAAAACAACATGCTAGTGAAACTCAGCAGATCCGACTGCATCGGTACAAAGAGAAATAGAATTTAATGTTCTTTGGAATTGAAAGGGGTTGGAAAGTGATTTTCATGCTGTCGAGGAGGAGGATCTACTGGAACTGATGGTGAAGGTGCTCAGAGAGTGTAGATGTTGGTAAAGGAGTGGTGGAGATGTGAAATAGGTGCAAATGAAAGATGTGAAAAGGGGAAAATTTTGAGAGCAAAGCCAACAAGAAACAAACCATGACCAGGGAATAATCAAAATGAAGGGCAGAAGTTGTACACTGTAGTTGTTGAATTCAATGTTGAGTCCTTGAGGTGTAAATTATCCAAGTGAAACATGAGTTGTTGTTTCCCCTGCCTTGCTTTGAGCAGAATGAAAATGATAGCATGGGAGCAACTAGATAGTCAAGGTCATTCTTATAGATGGTGGAGGTGTTCCTCTAAGTGGTCACCTATTCTGCAGTTGGTCTTGTGAATGTAAAAGAGATACATTGTGAGCAGCATAATGGAACTGATATTTGGGACAAAATTATTGGTCACAGAATAAATGTGTTCTAATTAAAGGAAGATTGACCCTTAAATCTGTGCTATCGGGTTGAACTAACTTGACTGACTTTTTGTTTTGGTCCCAAAAAAACACTTTAAGAAAAATGTATCATTTGTAGCAAACCGAAATGGTGGGCAGATCCACCTCTGAAAGTCCCTTTATAATTTAATGTTTTCATAATGATTATTTTAAAGATTTGCATTTGTGTGTTGTCACATCTCAAAGTGTCTAACATAACGATGAATTACTTGAAGTGCAAGTTACAATGTTTGCATGAGATACAAACGTGCAACAGGTTAGTTCTCACCTCACTTTTCTGTGGAATGTGTGTTTAGGGTGCCTTTTGACTTTTTTTTAATTCTATCGTGTCTAGGAAGTTAAAGTTATCCTTTTTATATTGTGTCTTTAAGTGTAATAGAGGTGATATTGATGAATTCTTTTTATTCTGTTTCAGTGCGAGTCCAAATCCCCCATTTATTCCACACCAGCATGAAAGGTGTTTTCCCTCAGTGATTGCACCACCTATGGAAGGATTTAGTGAAAAAAGGGAGCCCCTGAAAATCTAAAAGTAGATGTCAGGAAATCTCAAATGGAGTCCTGATTCGTAGCTGAAGAAGGAGGTTAAGGATGGTATCAAATTGAAGGAAGCGCTGCATAAATCTGCAATAATTATTGGTAGGTCAGAAGATTGGTCAAAAGAATGATTTTGAAAATACAGGGGGAAAGTATTAGCAAAACCTAGCTGTTAATATAAAACAGACAGGAAGGGTATTTACAACATTTAAATAGGAAAGGGGAACTAAAACTAGCATTTTAGTTCTCAAAGATTCTTGAAAATCAAGAGGTGAATAGGAGCAAGGAAGAGGTCATGGAAAAACTAAGTCCCAAGGACAATATTCCCTCTAAGCAGCACACATGCAGTCTCTGGAGGTCTGTGCATGGCGATTGATGTGATGTCGTTTGCAGTATTGATTCACTTCCAGTTCCAGAAGCTGCTGCCACGCATGGACCTTGGAGACCCACACAGAAGAAAGAGAATTAGCAAGAATGTTGTTTAAGAACCTGTTGGCCTACATTCTAGTGTCTTAAAAGAAGTGGCTGCCGAGATAGTAGATTCATTGTCTATAATCCTTCAAAATTTCTTAGAATCTGGAAACGTCTGGGTAGATTGTAAAATATCTAATGTGATACCTATATTCAATGAGGGAGGAACACCAAACAGGAAACTATAGGCCAGTTAGCCTAACATCTGTTACAGGGAAGCTGTTTGAATCCGTTATTAAGAAAATTGTAGCTGAATATTTAGAAACTCAATGTGATCATGGCTTTATGAATGGAAATTGCAGGAGGTAGCATGCAAGATGGATAATGGAGGACCTGTGGGTGTAGTGTTCTTGGATTTCCAGCGGGCATTGTCAATGACTGACGAAAGGACTGAACGTATGGTAGCTAGATTTGCCAGTGATACCAAGGTAGTTCAGAATGTAGATTGGCAAAAGGAGGTAGAGAGTCTGCAAAGAGATATATGCAAATTAGGTGTGGGCAGAAATTTGACAGCTGAAGTAAAATGTCAGACAATTTGAACTTATCCACTTTGCAGGAAGAATTGAAAATTGGAGAGAGATTGAAGAATTTAATGATGTACAGAGATCTGGCTGTCCTGGCAAGTGAAATGATGGCATATATTGCCAGGAAAATGGAATATATAAGTAGGGGAGATTTACTCCAACTGTATTGGACCTTGGTGAAGCTACACCTGGAGTACTGTGTACAATTTTGGAGTTTTAGTTTCTGTATTTGGAAAAGATAATATTGCATTAGAAGAAATTCAGAGAAGGTTTTTTTTGATTCATTCCTGGGATGAAGGACTTACCTTTATGAAGAATGATTGAACAGGTCATGCTGACATTCTTTTGAGTTTAAAAGAATGCAAAGAGATCTTACTGAAACATTATAAAATCCTCCTGAAGTGACTTGACAGGATAGATACTGGGAGTATACCTTGTTTTGTGGTGAGACCAGAATTAGGGGTGGCAAGGTTTAAGAATAAGAGGTCTTCTTTTAAGGTGAAAATGTTTCTTGCACAGTTGTTAATATGTGGAATTCTCTTCCCCAGAAAACAGTGGTGACTGGATCACTTTATATTATTCAAAGCAGAGTTAGATTCGTGATGGACAGTGGAGTTTAGGGCTGTTGGGCAGATTGGAAAGTAGAAATGACACCACAACCAAGATCATCCACAATATTATTGAACTGTAGAGCATGCTCAAAGGGTTGAATGGCCCACTCTTGCTCTTCCATCCTATATTCATAGATGATCAACTGCAATTAATAGCTTGACTAATAAGTCATTGCTATAAATATTATTCAACAGATACTTGTGTAATTAGAAATTAACCAGGAGATAAATAGAAGACAAGTTGTGATGTGGAAAAGAACATTCAAAATTAATGATGAGTCTAAAAAGCATGAAATTCTTGGCTTGAAGGTTTCATTCTGTGGCCATTTCATACATTATTTAAATAATCTTTATTATTGCTGTTTTTTGTCTTCCCAGTGCTTACTGTCTCTTTAATGCCTCATACTCTTGGATACCTGTTTGTGTTTACACAAGCACCAATATGGATCAACAGTACTTAATGTTTTACTCAATATTCACTTTCCTGTTTAGCTCACACTTTGAAGTTTAAATTTTCACGGTGTGAGGAAACAAAATAACAATGCACACGCTCAATCTGAGTAAGTGTGTGGGCACAAGTGAAGTATTCTCTAAGTATTTGACCCTGATTTCTTCTGCATAAAACTGGAGTTGCTTCTGTCCTTTAAATAATGGATTAATTTATTGTTTAGTCTGTTGCAGTGTCTTTTTCATAATGTGTGTTATTTAATTCATATTTATGTTAAGATTTACTTGTAACCAAAATATATTATTCATTTTTAGAACAATATGCTGGATTTTGTCTTTGCTGTGGATGATCCTGTGACTTGGCATACGATGAATATCATGAAAAATCCCCGACATTATTCATTTTTAAGATTTTTTGGACCAAAACATGTTAGTAAAATACAGAATAATTATGGAGCTGGAATATATTACAATACATTAGTGCCATGTGATGACAGGGTGAGTAAGCCTAATATGAAATGTAGCTTTATAATGTTGACCACAGGAAGCACTGTTGATCATGATATATAAGTTGATCTTTAAGCGTTGACAAATTCTTCCACAAACATGTACCAATTTGTATACTGAATGTAAAGCGTGAACTTTTTTGGTATTAGTGTAGGCAATCACCATTTTGAGATTGAAAAATCTTTATCTGGTCACCATGCGTGATCTGCGGTCTGAGCATATCTTAAACTCCCTCACTTTCTTGGCAACATGACCTGTTTTATCCGATCCCATTGATTACAACATATTTCTGAGCTCGAAAGTTGAGACCAACTCCTAATGTGAGTATCACTCTAAACAATTATATACTATCTAAAGCAAGGAACTTATATCAATTTATATGGTGAGTTTAATCCTAAAGATACATTCTGGCGCCAGAAACAGGTGTTTGTACTATTTGCCAGGCTGACATCAAAATCTAAGTTGGATGTATATAGTTCTAGTTAGAAAATTGTACTGAGAATTATTTAACCCATTTGTATTTCATCAAGCGTTTGTACTCCCTCCAGAAGCACCTTTTAACTACAGGGAGTACTCTTGCATTTTTTTCTATGCGTACGCACATGCTCATGGTCAGTTAGCTCAGTTATCTGGATGACTGGTTTGCAATGCAGAGTGATGCCAACAGCACAGGTTTCTGTACCAGCTTGAGGTCACCATGAAGGTCCCACCTTCTCCCTTCCTTGCCTGAGGTGTGGTGACCTTCAGGTTAAAACTTCTGTCTAATGAGAGAGCAACCCTAAGATCCTCTGGGACTGACTTTTTAATGCACATGCTATTAAGCCAATGATCACAGTTACTGCATGCTGTGCTTTATTGGTGTCAGAAGTGTAGCTATGTTAAACTATGTATACTGCTGTATATTGTTGTACACCCTTTAATCTACAAAGTTTAATTTGTGAGAAGCAGACACTGGGTAAGGTTATAATTTAAATCTATATCAAGAAACAAGTCAAAACTTAAAGTAAGCCTGATTTAGAAATTATGAGGCTATAAACATTCTAGCCGTTCTCTTTCTCTTTCTCTTTCTCTCTCTTTCTCTCTGTTAAGAAATTTTCGACTGCTGGGGAACTTTGTACATTCCAAATGATGAGCTTACATATTTACAAAAAAAAGTATTATTTATGAATTTTCCTTGTTCATCAACATAAGGAACTTGCCAAGCCTTCCCCAACAGCACCATCCAAACCCATGACCTCTACCACTTGGGAGGATAGGGGCAGTAGATGCATGGGAATACCACCACATGCAAGTTCCCTTTCAAGTCACACCCCAGTCTGACTTCAGTTATGTTGTGATCCTTCAGTGTCTCTGGATCGAAATCCTGGAACTCCCTCCTTCACAACACTGTGAGTGTCCCTTTGGCCCAAGGTCTGCAGTGGTTCAAGGAAGCGACTCCCCACCGCCTTTTCTAGGTTAACCAGGGATCTACCATAAATGTTGGCCAAGCCAATGATGCCAAGTTGCACGAATGATTTTTAAAAGATGTCAGTAACACACTTCCCTTTCAATCAGAGGGATCTGATTGAAGTTCCATTCTGGAGACTGGATCACAAACATCTAGACTGATTCCCAGTGCAATCCTGAGGGTGTGCAGCATTAAAATAAGATCTTGTCTGCTATCTAGGGTGAAGGATGCTGTATAAATGCAAGTCCATTTTTACTGACCTAAATTAACCCGATGTGCCATTTTAGCTGAATGTCATGCTAGTGTTTGACTATGATGTGTGACAAGTTAGCTGTTACAGTTGGGTCCTAAATTTCTTTTTAGAACGTCTATTTTATTCCATAATTGAAAACTTGTTGAATTAATAAAATTACAATTTTGTATGGAATTTTGCCAAATCAAAAAGTTCTAAATAAGGTATACAATATAAGGTTGAATGTGTTTTGTCAGCGAATACATAATTTGAGTGTGACAAAAGCAAAGTTAATAAACTGGAGAAAGGCTGATTTTAAGGACTGAGTAGAACTTCACAGAATCACAGAATTATTATGGTGCAGAAGGAGGCCATTCAGCCCATCAAGCCTGCTCTGGCTCAGTTATCTAGTGTTAATCTTCTGTCTTTACCCCAACAAAATCACAGAATTATTACTTTGTTCAACTAAAAGGAAAGGTCAAACTAAGCACTAGTGATACACCATGGATCAATGAAGATACAGGAGAACATTTGTAGCTAAGTAAAGAGATCAAAGATCAGTGCAGAGAACATTGCTGTTCAAAACTTGTATTACTGATCTGGTTTTGGAATAAAAGACATAATTTCTAAATTTTTGCATTATTCCAGTTTCGAGGGTGGCATTCATACTCAGTACAGAAAACATGTACACTGCCACATATTATGGAGGACATTAATGAACTTGCAAAATGTACAGATAACTGGTGAATGAAATTCCACAATATGATTAGTACATTTTGTTAAGAGGAAGGGGAGATCTTTTAGTATTTGGCGGGTATGAGTCTAAGTGCGTGAAAGAACAAGGGGATCACAGAATACATGTTCACCAATCAGTAAGAGTCATGCCATAGGTTAGCAAGGCCCTTTTTTTTAAAAAAAACCAATCAATCAATAAACAGATATTTTGCATCAGCCTTTATGGTGAAAGATACTTTGAATATCCCATTGATACCAAAGAATATGGGGAGAAATTAGGTGTCATCACCATCACTAGAGAAATAGTACTGGACAAACTAATGAGGCTGATGACTTGAATCCGAAAACAAGTAGTTACGAAGATATTGGATACATTGGTTATAATTTTCCAAAAATTCTTAGACTCTGAAGAAGTACCAAGAGTATAGGAAAACTGCCAATGTGACACCCTAATTCAAAAAGGGTAGAAGTTAAAATGCAGGTGACAGTAGGCCAATTAATCTATCCTCCATAATGTTGGAATGTATTGTGGAAGAAGTAATAGCGGCACATTTGGAAAATCATAATCTAATCAAGCAGGAGCAGTATGGCTTCATGAAAAGGGAAACTGTGTCTGACTAATTTGTTAGAGTTTTTTAAGGAAGTCTAAACCAGACTTGATTGAGGGGACCAGTAGATTTGTTGTATTTGGACTTCCAGAAGGCATTCAACAGGGTATCTCACAAATGGTTAAGTCGTAAGATGAAAGCCCATTGTGTTAGAGGGAGGGAGTACATTAGGGTGGATGGAGAATTGGCTAATGGGCAGGAAACCATGAGTGGGGATGAGAGGTACTTTTTCAGGTTCACAATCCTGTAACCAGTGGGGTTTCACAGGGATCAGTGCTGGGACAGCAATTATTTACAATATAAATTAATAACTTGGAGGAAGGAAGCAAATGTACTGTAGTCAAATTTGCAGACAACACAAAAATAGGTAAAAGGCAAGTTGTGAAGGGATACAATCAATTTACAGGTTTAGGTAAGTGGGCAAAAAGTTGGCAAATAGAGTACAATGTGGGCAAATGTGAAATTGTTCATTTTGGAAGGGAGAACAAAAGAACAGGGAAATGGAGGAAAAGGGACTTGGAGGTACTTGTGCATGAAACACACAAAGCTAGCAACAGGTACAGTAGGTAATCAGGAAGGCTAATGGAATGTTGACCCTTATTTCAAGGAGTATGGAGTATAAAAGTAGGGAAGTCTCTTACTGCAACTATACAGGGTGCTGATGAGATCATATCTGCAGTACTGTGAGCAGTTTTGGTCTTTTTTTTTAGGCAAGTATATTATTTCATTGGAGACAGTACAGAGAAGGTTCACTAGGATGATCCTTGGTGTGGACGGATTATTTTATGAGCAAAGGGTAAACAGGTTGGGACTCTACTCACTGGAGTTTAGCAGAATGAGAGCTGACTTTATTAAAGCACCTAGGATTTTTAAGGGGCTTGACAGGGTAAATGCTGAGAGGATGTTTCGCCCTTCGGAAGAGTCTAGGAACAGAAGGCAAAGCCTCAGAATAAAGGGGCGCCAATTTAAGACTAAGATAAGGAGGATGGTCTTCTCTGAGGGTTGTGAACATTTGGAACTCCTTGCCACCGAAAGCTGTGGGGCAAAGGCCTTGTGTAAATTTCAGGCTGAGGTAGATTTTGATCTCCACGGGAAATCAAGGCTTACGAGAGAAAGGCTGGAAAGTGAACGTGAGGAATGTCAGATTAGCCGTGATCCTATTGGATGGCATAGCAGGCTCAAAAGCCAACTGCTGTTCCTATTTCTTATAATCTAGCAGAAGGCTTTTTTTTTTGTAGAAAGATAGAATTGAAAAGAGGGAAGGTTGTGCCAAACATGCATTTTAATTTGGGTCTGACTGCAGTCGTTTATATAGAATCCCAACAGTGTGGAAGTAGGCCATTCAGCATATTGAGTCCACACCGACACCCTAAAGAGCATCCCACCCAAACCCAGCTCCCAACCCTATCCCTGTAACCCTGCATTCCCCATGGCTAATCCACTTGGCCTGAACATCCCTGGACACTACAGACAACTTAGCATGGCCAATCCACCTATCCTGCACATCTTTGGACTGTGGGAGGAAACCGGAGCACTCAGAGGAAACCCATGCAGACACAGGGAGAATGTGCAAACTCCACAAAGACAGTTGTCTGAAGCTGGAATCGAACCCAGGTCCCTGGCACTGTGAGGCAGCAGTGCTAACCACTGAGCCACAGTGCTGCCCTAAATATGCTCTCTAGTTTCGATCACCTCTCCCCTAGGGAAGTTTCCAGCAATTGTGGAGTTCTTTGTTTCATTTTAACCATTAATCTCACATTTTGTTGAATTCGATTTGCACCATCTGCTGTGGTGAGATTCGAACACGCATCCCCTGAATATTATGCTGGAACTCTGGATTACTAGTCCAGTGACATTACCATTACACCATTCCACCACAATTAAAAGTGCTACATCCAATTGTCATTACTGTATCATAAAAATGATATGGAAATGCTGGCAATGAGAAATGTGTGGGCATACATATCAGGAAAGGATGTGCAGGCAGGGCCAAGACAATTGGCCGGGGGTGGTGGTGGTGGGGTTTGGGGAACAAGGCTAATGGATGACAGAAGAGAGGTATTTAAAATTTATGAAGGTTTTGATTGATTGGAATGCAGAGAGATTATTTCCACAGGATATTTCCTGCAAAGAGGATAGCAAGAGGCTATCAATATTAAATAGTCACTGAGAAATCCATTAGGAAATACATATGAAATTTTTTTACCGAAGTGTGGTGACAATGTGGAACTTGCTACCACAGGGAGTTGTTGATTGAAAGAATATAATTGCATTAAGGTGAAAGGTAGACAACTGAGGGAGAAAGAAACAGAGGATAATGGTGGTGGATATAGATGAGGAAAGATGCAAGGAGGCCCAAAGAGAATAAATGCTAGCCTGGACTGGTTGGGCCAAATGGACTTTTCTGTGTAGAAAAAAAAATTAATTCAATGTAAAATGCTATCCCATAAATCGTAATTAACTTCAGATACCATTTAACCAAACTTTTCAAATTCAGAAGAGAGAAAATCTCTTTGCAAAAGCTGTAAACTGAAGAAGGATTTCTAGTTGCAGCTATCTTAAAGGCCATTGAAATAAAATATTTAAATGTTGGGGATTCATTAATATATCTGATATGTAAACATTGCAACCCAATATTTGCAACAAAATTTTGAAAATTATACTTAAGCAATTACAAGATTCTAATATTGAAGAAACAAGACAATCACGATTAATACAATAAGTGAATAATCTGCTGGAATCATAATGGAATACTTTTTTTCAGATAATCAAGTATGGCGTCATCAGTACAGGAACTCTGATTGAAGATCTTCTTTATTGGAAAAACTTATACATTGCTGGAAGACTGCATAAACCTGTAGGTTATGTTTATAAGCTATAGTAGCTTTTTGAGTTTAGGACCAGGTTGGAATGCTCATTGCATTGGAACAGAATTTGAAAACTTACTGGATGCTGATATCAGTTTGATCCGATGTTACCATCCTCACTGGGGAGCAATATATTAAAATAACCAAATGTACTGAATGACTCCCAAATTAACAAATTACCAACAAAATTCCATTTTCTTTGAGCTTTTATTAGAATTGCACAAATTGGAGCCAATGCAAGTTAGGCATGAATTAACAGATTAATTGTACTTCAAATAAAAAATTAAAATTTGCTTAAAATAATGATACAAAAAATATATCCTGCGCATCACAATCAATTTGCATCACACCCTGCACGAATTGGCTACTACACAGCTCCAAAATATGCTACTTAGTACTCTTGGCCTACCTTGCGTGAATACAATCTGACATTAGTTTCAATCTTTTTGATTTCTGAGGTACAATTATCAAATGAATCCTCTCTCCATTGCCTCTGGACAGTCCTGATGGTGTAGTTTTGTGGACTTGCTCTTGAAATGAATGCCAACATTGTGTTTGCCTTCCTAACTACCAACTAACCTGCATGTTAATCTTAACAGAATCCTGAACTAGAACTCCTAAGTCTCTTCGTGCTTCAGACTTCCGAAGCCTTTCCCCATTTAGTAAATCGCCTATACCTCTTCTTCCTACTGAAGTGCATAACCTCACACTTTGCCACATTGTATTCCATCTGCCAATTCATTGCCCACCCATGTAGCCTTCTGCAGCTTCCCCATTTCCTCAATGCTACCTGTCCTTCCACCTATCTTTGTGTCATCTGCAAACTTAGCAACAATGCCTTCAGTTCCTTCATTCAGATAGTTAATGTATAATGTGAATAATTGCGGTCTCAACACTGTCCCCTGTGGAACTCCACTAGTCACTGGTTGTCATCCTGAAAAATACCCCTTTTCCTGTCTCTCTATCTTTTGCCAGTCAGCCAATCCTGTATCCATGCCGGTACCTTGTCTGTAACATCACTGACTCTTACCTTGTTTAACAGCCTCCTGTGAGGCACCTTGTTAAAGGCCTTCTGGAAATCCGAATAAATAACATCCACTGGCTGTCTTTTGTCTAACTTGCTCATTACTCCTCAAATAATTCTTAACAGCTTAGTCAGGCATGACATCCCCTTAACGAAGCCATGCTGACTTAGTCCTATTTTACAATGCACTTCCAAGTATTTTGCAATCTTATCCTTCATAATGGACTCTAAAATGTTACCAATGACTGAGGTCAGGCTAACCGGTCTATAATTGTCTGTCTTATGCCTGCCTTCCTTTTTAAACACCGTGTTACATTAGCCGTTTTCCAGTCCTCTAGGACCCTGCCTGACTCCAGTGATTCCTGAAAGATCACCACCAATGCCTGCACAATCTCCTCAGCTATATCCTTCAGAACTCTGGGTTGTAGTCCATCCAGTACAGGCAATTTATCCACCTTCAGACCTTTCAACTTTCTCAGCACCTTCTTAGTGATGACACTCCACAGCTCGCCCCTCCCACCAACTATCTTGAAGCTCTGGTATACTGCTGGTGTGTTCCGTCGTGAATACTGATGCAAAGTATCTGTTCAGTTCCTCCGCCATCTCTTTGTTCCCCATTATTTTTCCTCCAGCCTCATTTTCCAGCAATCTAATGTCCACTCTTGCCTCTTTCTTACCCTTTTCTATATCTAAAATTACTCTTGCAATTTCTCCCATCAGGGTCTTTCTATCTTTGCGGTTTCTCAAGTCTACCCACATGGATTCTGTGCTTTCTGACTCCATTTCACTGTTGCTTTTGATTTTCATTTCTTCCTAACAAGACATCCCTGCCCCCTCTGCTTAACTGCCAGTCCTTTTGATAGGAGCGTGTCCTTGGATATTTGGCTCCCCAGCTCTGATGCCCTTGCAGCCACGTCTCTGGTTCCCACAATGGTATACCCTCTAATTACAATCTGCGTTACCAGCTCATTTACTGTATTTCATATACTGCATGCATTTAAGTACAACACCTTCAGTCCCGTGTGGATGGGACCTCTTCTCATACCAGTCCCTTTTATATGATATGCCTGAAGTTAAATTCCTGAGCTTTGCCGTACTCTCTGTCATATTATTTGTTCTTTTATAAACCTTTGCTGAGCTCCCCACCTCGGTCGATTTTTTGCATTATAGAGACCTTCATGCAATACTGCTGATGAAAGAGAATAATTAGGTCAGTTGTTTCCTGGATCAATTAAATAAGAAACTGCTTTGGTTGAGTTGCTACTCCAGGAAATGGCTATCTTAACTGTGCAAGAGGTGTTTCACGTGCTAATATTCTGTACGGATGGGCTGCCATAGCATCACTGAAATCTATGTTCATTTTCAGGTGAAGATATTAATCCAAAATGAAAATGGCAAGTTACAAAATGCACTGGCTAAGAATCTGAGAAGTGCAGTGATCGCAGCATTTCTTATGCTGCCGGAATCTTTTACTGAGGAGGAGCTCTACATTCGTATTGCTGGACTGTCCTACTCAGGTTTATTTAGTTTGTAGTAGCTGTTGATGCCCCTTAGAAATGTTTCAAATAACTGAATAGCAAGTGAAAATCCATGCACGTTTTTTGACTACAGCTATTACATTCACTCATGTCAGTTGAATACTTTAACGTATTTGTTCCTCCACTGTATCCTTCATTTTCATTTACAACTCCATCAATGAATTTGTCCAATATTATCCCTGTGGTCCTTTGCATCCCCATGTTCCTTCCAAAATGCTGCTTTCCTCTGACTTTTCCCTCACCCTTTACTTTGCTTCTCTATTGGTTAAATGCCCCTGTTCTCTGTTAGTCCTCACACCGATCTCTCCTTTCCAACTTTTTAAGAGATTTAAAATTCCCCACCAACCAATCTCTATGTACCTTTTCAATGTCTCTCTTGCTAGCGCAGTGTCCATAAAACAGCTGGGGTTTTTAAATATTTAAAGATTCAATTATAAATATAAGTTGCTTTAATATTGTTATCATAAACGTCACTTCAGGAATTTAAGACATTGGAAGATTTGAATTTGTGTAAACACTGTTTGTAATGGGATTAATTCTCTTCTAAATCAGGTGATTTTCGAATGATTATTGGAGAAGACCGATCAAAAGTAATGAATATTGTTACAGCAAACATGGAAAACTTCCAAAGACTTTACAATAACATTTTACAGGAGTGCCCTCAAGTGGTCTACAAGCAGCAACTGGGTAAATTAGAGGTAATGGCGCTTCAATTCAGAAACATGTTGGATGCAGTTTGCTGCATTAGTGAACGTAAATTCTATTATTGAACAGTGATAATCAATTGTACTTATTTTTAAGCTTGATAAAAGTCCAGAAGGTCAATTCAATCAATTGATGGCTTTGCCTAGAACTCTTCAACAAGAGATAACCCGTTTGGTAGACCAACCAGGGAAAAATAGAGATGTAGAAGAGATCTTGCTTCAAGTAGCCCAGGATCCAGACTGTGGATTACTAATACAGCAAAGTAAGTGTTTAAATATTTGTCATTTTAGTTAACGAATTATAAACAGGACTTGTAGAATTTTCTTTATGATCTTACAACGATGTTGTACTTTTGAATAGAGTAGACTCTGATTCTCAATTCTCTCCATTGATATTTTCTATATAGGCAATATTTGCCCAGTGTTAAACATTTATTTCTGGACCTACGTATTCCCATAATTTCCCCTTTCCTGGATTGGTGGGATACATATTCAGACTAGCAGGACCTCCGACGCAATGTGTTCCTCCAGATGACATTTTTAGCCTCTGAATGATTTAATTAGTCCTACACTACCTGCAGAAAGTAAACTTTCTGAGAAATATATTAAAGACTTTCCTTTAGGTAATGAAAGAATGTGTTGCTTTTGTGCCTACAGAAGCTGAATGAAAGAATAAGTTAGGAGAATGCAAGATGCCTCTGGTTAATGAGCAGCACAATGTTCACATTCAGTTCAACAATGTGAATCGAGCAATCAGGAACATATTTTCCTGAGTTGCATAACATTGGATGCCAGAAAATGGGAGATGGCACAAAACGATAACGCAATTGAATACTTTTCCTTAAGCATTTTTGTTTATCCTACCCTCCCAGATTCCAGATTTGTTGGAGATAAACCTAAGATCAATAGAGCTGCCAGCCTGTGACTGGTCAGCAAGGCTCACAATACAGGTTTTCCAACACCAGCACCACCCCCAGCCCCGCCAGCATCCAAAGTCCTTCAGACTATGTGAAAGGCTGCTGCTGTGCTACAAGATATGATGTGCCTTCCTTACAAAAGGTGATATGAAGCTCCTGCTGACTCTCCCTTCAGCAGGCAAGACCCCAGTTGCCTTCAAGATTCCACCCAGATTGTTTAAAATTAAATCTTCCCCATGACCTGCTTCATAAACATGGCTACCAAGTTGTGCTGTGATTAAGTCAGACTTTAATGTTGTGAAGCTTGTTTGATATATTGGTGATTAGTTTTGCATTTTAATTTATCGTGAGACAACTTAATAGTGTAAAGACTTTACTACATCCCCAAGAATTAGCTCCTTTATTAATTAAAAATATGGCCATATGTCTTGCGTGGCAAATTACTTGGAAGTACCTGTAACAAAATTACCAAAGAGAGTGCATGCTTTGATTATTCTAAAAATATGTTCCTGAAAATGTCCTTTTTTAAAATGTTTTGTCCAGACTGGTTTTGTAAGCTGGAGGCAGGAAGATAAGCTTTTTAGCTGCTCTGTTGCATTGCCTTCCAAAGCACTTTACTCTACATTTGCAAAATCTTTATAATGTTAAAGTTTTTAAGTTGCAAATTTGGGTTGATTCATCTCCAGTAGCAAATGCTGTCATGGATTTCAAGCTTGAATGGCCCTTTTTTTTTTTAAAATGAAAAATACAAGTTTCAGTTGGTTATTTTTATAACCAAGTTGTTTTTGTATTATGAGCCTTGGTCTCGGTGATGTCAAAAAAATGCAGAAACTGCATCTATTTGAAGTATTTGCCATACCTGGAATACTCAATTTCTACTGTAAATGACTACTCATCTGAGTTTCACGGTGTTATTAGACATTCCTAAACTAGTTTCATAAGAGCTGAGTCAAGCCTGAATAATCTGTTACCACATGCCTTTTAAGGATAACAAACATGGAACTTTAACAAAAACTGTCACATGCTTTACAGACAATTCCATGTTAACCCATTGAAGGTTGAAGTTTCGTTAGTCCAAACTTTCCTGGATACTAGTGAGGCAATTTGTTGCTTTCTCTGCATTAACTTAGGCTGACTAAAAAGTAGCCAGCCATCCGGGTAGGTCCTGGAGCCTTTTTGAGGAAAAAACGTACTTTGTTCATATAATTTGTAAACATCCATTACTTAAGTGTGATACAGTTCAATTTCTTTCAATATATGGGATGTGGCACTCCCAAGTGTCTTGCACAAGTTACCATTACAGATTAAGTTTCCGATTTACATTTCATGTCAAACATTCTTCAGTTCATATAGGCCAAAGGAGTTATGTGTTGTGGTGAGAGAACCTTAGAATGGGGCTGTTCCAAGCTTTAATGTTGTTCTCAGCACATAGTCCTGAAATTGAGAATGTGCTAGCTGCAACACCATTGTACAGTTCTTTGTACTGGGAGATTAGCATGATTCAGGCAGACCCAAAGTGTTTTTCACTAAGTTGGTGGTCCTCCAGCAACAATTGATATTTATTTGTCTCTGGTCCTTGAAACAAATGGAAACAGTGAACATGAGCTGGTAACTTTTTTGGCCTGAAACAATGCTCTGGAGTCAGAAGGCTCACTGTTGCTCCAAAAAAAGCTAAATATCGTGGAAGCTGAAGCTCTCAAATAAAAACAGTGTTGGAGAAATTCAACGGGTCTGATAGCATCTGGAACTGGAACCATTGCGCAAATCAGTTTTATTAAACTCCGCATTAACTCTGTCTGCCTGCCTGTCTCTCTCTGTCTCTGTCTCTCTCTCGTGCTCTCTCTTGCTGTCTCACGCGCGCTCTCTATACAGATTTTGCCAGGCCTGCTGAGTTTCACTAGCAGTTTGTTTTTATTTCAGTCCCGCTTGCTCCACATTACAGTACATTTAAAAATAAATAAATTTACCTTTTTATGTTTGTGCCTCCTGCAATCTTTAAGTACTTAATGTGGAAGTTGGAGCACAGCATGCTGGTTAATGTTCCCCTTTAGTTCTAACTAATGTTGGAGAGAAATCCTTTACATACTTGTTAGGCCTTTCTTGTGCTAAAGCCTATGAAATGCAGCCATGAGGAATATCTAATAATCCCCAGGACAGCTTGTGTTATCAGATGTATAAACAGGCACCTTTTGAGACACGTGTCAACAAGTCAAGTTAGACCTTCTTGTGTCCATTTTCACTATTAATTCTTGGGCAATCCCGCCAACTTGAAAATCACCTATTTATTCCTACTCTTGTCTGTTAGCTAAACCTCAGTTCATGTTAATATACTGTCCCTAATCTTGTGTAACAATCTGTGCGTGGCACCTCTTATCAAAAGCATTCTGAAAATGCAAACATACTGTATTCACCAGTATCCCTCTGTCTGCTAGTTACATCCCCAAAAAACTGTTAACATTTATTTAATAATTGGTGCACAATGATGTAATTTTAGCTTGAGTCACATATTGTGCCATTCCAAGAATTTGAGCCTTTTTTTTTTACATTTTATTGTTTCAGTCATTCAACTTTAGTTTCTGTACCGATAGTCAATTATTATCATATAAATAACGTGCAAACATCACAATAGTAAATTCCACCAATGTGTGACTAATTTAGCAAATATTTCCAAGATCTTGTAAAATGTTTTGTTTCATTTTCCATACTGAGACCCCTGCAAATTATTTAAAATTTACTGCATCCCCTTCGCAAACTCTAACAAACGCTATATTCCCTGCCTTCTGGCAGCATACTGCAGCTTGCTGTATGATGTGCAAGTGGTGAAGTCTGGGTAAAATGTCTACATTTTTAACTTTGTTTTTTTCCATGCTCTCTCACCATTCCAACACTACTCCTACCCCATCCCAGGAAAAGAAAAATGTGACATCTTCTGCACTCTCAGTAATAAGGTACATGCAATAACCTGATATGTATCTCTTACCACTTATCAGTTCTCAACATTTTTACACTACCAGTCAGCACTCTACTATTGAAGTCCCGTGCTCACTTTTCTTTCCTCTTGCTGCTTGAACTTTTTCTCAACCCTTCTTTCCTAAAATTACAAAAAAAGGGGTGGATTAAAGCATACTATTTCATATGTATACCAAATCTGCCACCTTTTCTAGAAGATGAATGGGTCACTTATCCCCAAGCATTGGTATACTTTAACCAGCGGAGTGTATGGGATACTCACTTCATTTTCCCAAGCTATACCAAAGACAATAAATATTCCAAAGTAAAATACCGCATATAATTGTAAGATCAATGTGTATACCTAAAAATATAAGCCAGGTTTATTCAATAAAAGATAATCCAGAGAATTTCCATAATGAAACAAATACTTGAAGATTGTTAAATTTAAAATCGGCATAAGGTATTAAAATGTTCCCTTCAAAATACATTTCTTACACACGCTAATTTGTAAATATTTACAAATAAGCTGTCATTTATCTACAAGACATTTGGATGAAAAAGGCTATAATATTTTCTACATGCAATGTTTTTCTAGGGATAAAACTTAAAACATGGAAACCCACTGTCCACTGGGTATATATATTTTCATCAACCCATTCAGACATGCTACGACATATTTGGAACAAGTGAAACTTAAACCCAGGCCTACTGATCCAAAGATACATCGAACAGCACAGTACAAGAACAGGCCCCTCAGCCCATTGTCTTTGCTGACCATAATGCCATTGTAAACTGATCGCATCTGCCTGCACATAGTCCATATCCCTTTATTCCTTACCTGTTCATGTATCTGTTTAAATGCCTTTTAAACTTTGCTAATGTATCTGGTTCTACCATCTCCCCTGGCAAAATGTTCCAGGCACCTACCACCCTCTGTCTTTTTAAAAAAAAAAACTTTGCTTGCACATCTTTAAAATTTCCCCTTTCTTTTAAAACCTGCGTCCCCTAGTACTTGACATTCCATGCTGGAAAAAGATTCTGACTATCCATCTTATCCACACCTCTTAATTTTATACAACTTCAATCAGGTTGTCCCACAGCCTCTGATCCTGTAGCAAAAACAATCCAAGTTTGCCCAACCTCTCCTCATTAGCTAATATACACCAAACCAGGCAACATCCTGGTAAACCTGTTCTGTACCCTTCTTATGTGTGGCAACCAAATTGCACACAGTACTCCAAATGTGGCCTAACTAAAGTCTTATACAAAGGTAAGGACAATGCCATTGCATCACAAAAGTCCCTCTGCTCTCCTTAGAGATATTTTCTTCTAACCACCTGTGCAGAAATATTATTACATATCTTTAGAGCAGGCAAGACTTGAACCTGTGCCTCCTAACTCAAAGTTAGCCCCTTACCTTGAGGAATGCACCTTGCCAGTCTGATTGCCATGCACTAAAATTCAGGAGGCATTTTGAAGGGACATGAAGTGCAATAATAGTGTCCCTACCTTTTGAGCCAGGAAAGCCAGATTCAAGTCCCACCTGCTCCAGAGATGTGTAATAATATCTCTAAACAGGTTGATTCAAAAATATTTAGTGAGGTATTTTGGTTAGAGGAGACAGTCCTATTGTCACTGGACTAGTAATCTAGGATCCGAGGCTAATGTTCTGGTGGCATAGTTTCGATTCCCACCATGATGAGATAGTAAAATTTGAATTCTGATTTCATTCTGGAATGAAAGCTAATGAGGCATTTAAGAGGTCTCTTGCAGCTCAGTGATAGTTTCCCTACCTCTGGGCCAGGCAGCCTGGGTTCAGGTCCCACTTACTGCAGACATGTCTCAACATGTCTGAACTGGGGTTGTTTAAAAACATCTAGTGTGGCATTTTGGAGGGCTGTTGTGGTGTAGTTGTAGTGTCCCTACCTCTGAACTAGGCGGCCCAGGTTCAAGTCTCATCTGGTCCAGAAGTGTGAAATAGTGTTTCTGAACAGGCTGGTTAAAAAAGAGCTGCTATTCAGGCATTCAAATTTATTGTTTCCTTCCCATGTTTTATGAATATACCATTCAATTTTAGAGTGTCCAGTTGCAACGATGACCTATTTAATTTCAAAACAGAGGCCATGATATCAACAACGCAGACTAATTAATAACCATTGAACATGAATGAATTGCCTGGTTTTCTAGCTTGCTTATTTGCTTTGTTTTTGACAAGAACCATGTGAACCAATTTTAAATGACATTTATGTGATCTACAAAAATGCTATGAAATCTTCCTTATTTACATCTTGATGAAAACTGTTTTCAAACTCCATACTTTGGATTTATAGTTCCTTCTGATTTTAATTTTGTGTACACATTAATGGCCCAAATCTTTGAATCATTGTTGGAATCCTTTTCAAAGGTTACCTACCTACGATTTTTTTATTTTTGGGTATATAGTAATGTCCAATCCTTCATAACAGAGATGGTGCAGCAATCCTCTCGGGGAGCACCTTGGAGAACCTCTGTAGAACACTTGTCTGTGTTTTATGGCATTGGCTGCCATATTCCAGTAAATGTTTAAAGACTCAGGGCCTCACTAGGAGAGAAGGTGAATGTGTAAGTTAATTGGATTAGAGGGTAGGGTGACAGGTGAATGAAGTAGATTAGAATGGCAAATCTGGCAACCCGGAGCCTGACGATCTGGGCAACTATTCCTCTAATCTGTGCTGGTGTGCGTAAAGCAACAATCAGCTTGTGAACAAACATTTTCATTAAGGTGCACCCACGCAGAGTTGTTCAATTTTAAAGGCATCAATAATGGAACAAGCCAGCTGCACACTACAAATAGAAGTTAGAGAGAACATTGGTACCACACAAAGTCTGACATGGGGAATAACTGTTACAAACTTTATTTAGTCAATGTACATTAGCATCTTTGTGTTTTTGTCAAATGACATTTCTTTGTTTGTCATTTAATTAGCTAAACCAAGTCTGTGCACCAGTTATAAACTGATTACAAAGTTACTACAGCGGTCTATGTTCTGCTGTTTCTGTCATAAAAACCTTTGAGCAGAAATTTGGGGACAGGTGGCAGGAAAGATCTTGAATGCGAGTTATTAGGGAAACAGCAATAACAACTGGAAGACAAATGCAGGAAGTCTGTCTTGAGTTGAACCATGTCCTGCATGCACCCTGAAATTTAAAACTGTTAATCTAGGGGCAAGTTAATTTATATGCAGTCTTTTCCAAACTGTAGCTTCAACTTTCAGAGCTAACAGCAAAATATAATTTTATTTAAATATATCGTTTGGACTTCTGTAGCATTTCTTACTTTCTTGCCAAAATAATAGTATTTTGTTTCTCCAAATGCTAGGTGTAGCTGGTATCGTAAAATCCTCGAGTATGACCCAAAGTGCAAAAGGAATTCTTACTGCTGGTAAATGTTTTTTTTTTCCCATGTAAATAGTTGTACACTATAGACTATTGATTGCCAATGGCATTTCAGCTGACTGCAAAGCTGTATTAAAATCTCCAGACATTCTCTCATGTTTCATTTGCATTTAGGTGTGAAAAAAACAGTTACCTATAGCATGAAGAAGCTGCATAAAATGTGGAGAGGATGGAGAAGAAAATCGTCCTAACGTTTGCTAACTATTATTTAAATTTACATTTGAAAAAGACAATTTTAAATAAAGCACGCTAGCTGTGAGCTTTCATCAGTGGCTGGGATTCTTTGTAACTTATTAAATGCATGTTTGCATCATCTTTATATTGAGAGGAGGTTACTCTTGCATATCAGTGTCATTAATAATGATGAGTATTTTGGAAACAATTTTCCTGTAAATATTTTATGAAGACAAGTGCTATTTGTGATTTACAATATCCAGCATTATAATTCCATGGAACTTTGTAAGTGTGTAAATTTTGTTACTCATAGGTGATTAGTTGTCAGGTGGTTAATTAGGATCCAATCTTCTTGGAAATTGTGCAGATCCCTCCAGATCCATGTGAGCTACAGAAGTTGGAAGATCTTTTATTCATGTCATATTGTTACTTTGCTGACTCGTAAGTCAGACGCATGAACCAAGACATTGACATCATAATAAAGCTTCAGCTCATGTGAATTGTTTGGTTTCGTGGATTTTTTTTGTGTCTCAGTCTCTCAGAAATAATTAAAACCTTATCTTTATTTGTTTTTTCTATGATTACTATATTTTTAATTTAAATAAAACTTTTACTTTTTCTGCTGTGTTTAGACATAAATAGTTCTTGTTTTAGTGAGTGTGGAAAGAGTGGAAGATCAGTAGGGACCATAGTTCAAATTGTGGTTTTTTTCCTGTCTGCATACTTAATGCCACCGCATGTGGTGAATTTGCTTACTGCATTACAGGCAAGGTGAAGTCATTACAACTATCCATTTTTGAAACACTAGTTTACTTGTCACCTATTTCAGAACCAGTTTTGCTAAATGGATTGTATAGCAATAATTGTCATTAGGAAGTACTGTATCCGAAACTGAAACACTTTGCTTGGCAAAATATAAGTTAGTACCATTGTTTGTTTGTCTTTGGATTGATTGGCTTTCATGCCAGTGAATTACCGTTCCATAAGAGAATGATTCAACAGATGGTTTTATGTTCACCCAGTTGTTAGAAAGTTTGAAATGCATTGAATTCCAGTACATATTGTGTTTCCTGCATCCCTTTATAACCATTACCAATAGTTCCATATTTGCAAAGGATTCGTTAGAATCTAACTGTCGAATATTGGTGAAAAGAACCGTTTTGCCGAAGTTTTCTGTCTTGCATTCATCAGAACAACTGAAGAATGCCAATTTCAAACAGCTGCAACAGGAGAAGGGGGTGCTGATTTTTGACAAGTCAACCATTATTGACTGGGGCGTGGCATGAACAAAACAGCCAGCTACTATAGTATTGGGTACGCCAGCTCCCAGGCAGTTCAATTAAGGTGCAAGGCATAAACATATTCCTTTTCTTTTGATTCACGTACAGAAACTCATTATCCAATGTAACGCTATTATAGGTTCATTTACCCTTTCTAAACTCAACTGATGATTTTAAATTAGCTAGTGTAGCTAACTGGTTAGGATTTTTGGCGAGTGTTGCTCTATGACAGAATCTCATCTAACAGTCACTATTTTGTTTTGGGTTGAGTAAGTGCAGACTGGTTGAATATGGTTTTTAATCTCCATATTCCAAACAATTGAGTGAATCAAATAGCATGTTCCATCATCCAGCTGTTTGGAATGTACAGCCTATTCACCTTGAGTCACACCAGCACTTGTATTCATGTATGATTTTACTGAATTATATGGTAGTCAGAATGTTGTTTTGAACTGACATTTGTATCCAGTTAGTTGCCACTAAATAGTAACGCATGAAACAGCAACAGAGTGTATGTAGGCAATATACTCCAATGATTTGCTGATCGAATAGTGCAGTATGTTTCTTCAGTTGCTTGTAATAGGAAGAATACATAAAGTTCTCAACCAGCCCATACTTGCAATCCTAAACTGAAACATCTACTGTTACATGTGATTCTGCAATTAGGAAACATTTGCTGAATAATCCTGAGTATGCTGAGGATCATAGTAATGACCAGTTTAAGCTTGTAAGGTGGCTCATTTACATTTGCTAAAGGTGACATTCATTCATATTTGTGTACCCTATTCTCTGCAAACAGAAAGAACATGTTTTACTCATACCTTATTTGAATTACCCACAAGCTTAGTAAATCTGTAGTTCCCTGGTGCTTTCTCCATGGCATCCCTTTGGCCAGTAAGGGATGACTTGCCTACTAATCTATACCTTTTCTCTTGTAGTATAAATTGTGGTCATTCAAAATTTAGCATCCTTGTATTTGTCCTGATAAGTGCAACATGAAATATGTTGCAGTAGAAGGGGTGGCACAGTGGCTCTGTGATTAGCATTCCACCATGGGGCGACTGTGTTGAGTTTGCACATTCTCCCCATGTCTATGTGGATTTCCGCTGGGTGCTCTAGTTTCCTCCCACAGTCCAAAGATGTGCAGATTAGGTGGCTGGGTCATGCTAAATTGCCCATGGTGTCCAGGGGTGTGTAAGTTAGGTAGATTAGCCATGGGAAATGTAGGGTTATGGGGAAAGGGCAGGGGTGTGGGTCTGGGTGGGATGCTGTTTGGAGGGGCAGTGTGGTCTTGTTGGGCTAAATGGCCTATTTCCTCACTGTAGGGATTCTATGATTTTAATGTGTGTCTCTCTTCAGCAATATTCAAGTACTGTGTTATTGAGCAACATGCATATGTCATGCATACTGCTTGGATGTTTTGCTCAGTCATTGGATAATCCTTGTCTAGTGTGGATTGATTTTTATTTTGCTAGTTCCATCTGCCAATTATCATCTTGGAGCATGCTATCTTCCATCCACAGAGATGTTGCTCAAGCTTTACTTCCAAGTGGCTAGTTATTAATTGGACAATGTCAGTTACAAAGAATCAAATGTATTAATAAGCTTGTGCTTAGAATTTCTTAGATGTCTCAGCTGTAACTTGTTTGAGTCAAGCATGGTGATGTTTGGCTCAACATACCACTCGATTCCTGTTGGTGGCAGTATTGGGCAGGTACAGCCAAATGCCTTACTAAATTAAATCTATAACACACACTGAAGTTCAATTTTTTTTTGCAACTTTTACAAGTGTTTTGAATATCCCTGGTTAAAATAGTATCATTAAAATTGTAAATTTAATACTGAATACCTACAGCAATGCAAAGTTGCATGGAAATGTGGATTCATAAGGCTTATGTGTAGGCATGACTGGGTTTAATGCCTGAGAATACATTAAACGAAGTTTTCTGGCATTTTAGTATTTTTTTTAGTAAAAGTAAAACAGTTCCTCCAGCATTTTCTGTGTATGTTTTAGTGTATTTTACACTGTTTCAATGTATCTTTGGATTTGTTTGGCATTGTCTTTTCTATTAAGAACATTGCACTACTAGGGCCAGAATGATCAATTTATTTATGTATCTAATCTTCTTAACAATTTTTGAGCTATTGCATCTGTTTAAGGTCTCAAACATACAATGAAAAATAAAGTTGTTATTTTAATGTTGTTTGTTTATGACTTGAATCCAAAACTTTGCAAGCGCATTCCAGTTTTATTTACAGTTTGGTGAAGGAAGGTGTTTGACTTTATTGGATATTCACTTGGAGCAGTTCAGTTTAGCAGTTCTATAATACAGCTTCAGTTCAGTGAGCCATAATACATTGAACACAAGATGGTGTACTGCCTATAACTTTATGTGATAATGCCTTTTAGACCGTATTGTGAAAATATCTAAAAATAAAAGAATTATTATAATGGAGCAACCAATGTTAATTTTTTTTTTACAGCTTCTGTTTGACCATTTATTCACCCCAGTGTGTGAATTCTCATTTCTTCTTTCTTGATTCATAACTACCATTCAATAAAATATCTGGCACTACATTTGACTACTACGTTTGATCTGTCTCAGTGATTTACATCCACTGGAATTTCGACAAAGATGCTCTGTTACTGAAGAATTTGCATATACTAAACTCCTTCTCAGTTTTTCCAAGCATTTCATAGAAAATGAATGATTTAAGCTCAGTTATGAAATCTCCCCAATTTTTATACACTATTCAGGGTACAAAAGAAATTTAAAGTCACCTTGTAAAGGTGGAGTTGCAAAGTGAATTCCATTAGATATTTCCGAACTAAACAGAGTTCTTGCAATTTCCAGCTGCTGCAGCAGTAGTTTGCAATAGTTTATTTTCTCTTCCATGAATGGTAGAACAAGTGAAAGGTGTATTGATCATCCAATATTTTAAATTACATTTACACAAGGTGTATTTGCTTTGCATTGACTTCTGCATTTTCATATACACAATGTAAATTTTGCTGTAATTTGCCTCCACCTGTTGAAATTTACAACTTGAACTGGTGGAATTGTAAGTTAGTAATGACTTTACTCATCGTTATGAGTTCAGAAGCAGTCCTCCCCCTAAATAACAGGTCTGAGCTTAGGAATATGCCCAAGGTAGATTTACAGTAGTGAAGTTACATGATGTGTGAATGCAGCTAAATATAATGCATATTTTAACAAGTAATTGAAGATATTGCTGGTGGAAGACAGACAATGACAAAACAATTAATTCATTTGTTTAGCTTTGTGGGTAACTTTGACACTGATTTACAGACGTATGGAAGAAGCTTTATATCATAGAATCCTTACAGTGTGGAAATAGGCCATTTGCCCCAACAAGTCCACAGCACCCCTCCGAACAGCATCCCACCCAGACCTATTCCCCTGCATTTTCTACGTCTAACCCACCTAACCTAAACATTCCTGGACACTATGAGCAATTTAGTATAGCTAATCCACCTAGCCTGCACATCTTTGGACTGCGGGAGGAAACCGGAACACCCAGAGGAAACCCATGCAGACATGGGGAGAATGTGCCAATTCCACACAATTGCCCAGGGTGGAATCGTACCTGGTGCTGTGAGGCAGCAGTGCTAATCACTGAGCCACCGTGCTGCTCAACTGTATATATCAAACAATTTGTCAAAATTGTCACAAAATAATGATTTATGGAGAGCAATTTCTCATAGTGCTCCCTTTGAAAATTGGATCAAAAAAATTGTGATTGTCTTACTTTTTTTGTATTATTGTCATCACCATATTTTAGAAGAAGTTCCTATACACTACAGCATCACCATATTTTAGAAGAAGTTCCTATACACTACAGCATAAGTGATGAGAATAAATGATTGTTGGTGGCCTGCAAATTAAAGCATATCTGATACAAAAGTATTTTTCCATCATTTTCATTAACTAACTGGACCAAC